TCATCGAGTTTGGTTAAAGTGGTCTGGTAGGTACTCCCTCCCCCCGCCCCCTCCTCCACCACCTTCCCCCTGCCCTCCCTCCCAGGGCGGACGGGGCTGCCCTGCGGCGAGAGCAGCCGTGGCCCGGCCGGGTATGAGAAAGGCCCCCCGCGCGACGCGAGGGCGTCGACATTGCAGGCCTCTGGCGCTGCCGCGCGAGCGAGCGAGAGAGAGAGAGAGAGAGAAAGAGAAACAAAAAAAACATCAAAAAAAGAAAGAGGGAGAGAGAGAGAGAGAGAGTGAGAGAGACAGAGAGAGAGAGAGAGAGAGAGTGGGAGAGAGAAATCGGACAGGGCTGGAAAGGAGAGGGAATCGGACAGGGCTGCAGTTGGGGCGCTGAACAAGGAGTCCTTTTCGTTGGGGAGGGGCTCCGTGTTGAATGTTTCGCATCTTGCCTTAGGTTGTCCTTGGGTTTTCGATGGGGAATCGAAGTTCAACTTATGGAAACAACGGGTCTCGTTCCTTATTCAGGGTTCCTTAGGTCAACGCCTCGACTGTAGGACGAGGACATGGGCGGGTTAGGAGGGCGGGTTCCTGGGGGTAGAGAGGATTTCGCGCACCTGGGAGCCCACACGGGGCCGGCGGATAAGAGGAAGCGGGAAAATGAGGAGATAAGAGGATGACGTGGTATTTCGGACGGGGCCTGGATAGATTCGTTCCCGAGCTTTCCCGAATGCTCTCAGAGCGTTCCGGAGCGGTCCGAGAAGGCCGTGGCGCCCGATACACATCCTCCAGAGCCGCCGGATCTCAGAGATTCTCGATCATCCCCACCCGATGTTATCCTCGTCCTGGCTTCGTCTTAAAGGTTTAGGATGCGACTCGTGGGAGGTTCCATTCGGTGTCGGCGCTGGTATATCTGTGGTCGAAGGCCGGCCGGCCCAATCCGGCATCATCCCGCGCAGTTCCACTCAGTCCCGTCCCATCGGGCCTCGTCTGGCTTGACTTTCGGCTGAAGCAGGCCTCATCGGGCTTGGTGGCTTTCCAGCTGAGTCTGACAGCCCTCACTCGTTCTCACGAATACCCCCCAGGAGCTGCTTCCCGGGAGAGAGCGCGAGAGAGAGAGAGATGACTTCCTGCTGGGGCGGCCATGCTGAGGGTAGCCAGCTTGAGACATGTCTCTATCCCTATGGTTTGCATCCCCCGATCAGGTCTCTAGATCCCTATGATTTGTTGGCCTGGGGCACGAGTTCTATGGCGCGGGGCCGCAGCGCCTTCGATGTTGCGCGTCGCCGCAGCGCGTCAACCGAGAGCGCCGCGGGGCTCCAGATGCATCATTGCACCCTCTGTGCCCTCATGCAGTTTTATGGGCACGTGCGCCGCCGACAGATTCTGGATCAGAGTGTTTTTGCTGGGTTCCCCAACCACATCCAGATCTACGCGCTCTCGACCTACGGGAGGGTTGTCCTGATGGGCGGGGCATTCGCGGCTCCCCTTTGGCCCTTGAGGGGGATGGCCGCGGGCGGCGAATCCGCCGCCCGCGAGGCCGCGTCGTTCTTGCTGCCCGCAATCGCGACTCGCAGGGGCCGCCAGGGGGCGCGCCAGGGCCTCCACGTTGACGATCTGTCGATCCACTCCTCAAGCAGTGCCTCAGGCAAGTGAAGGAGCTAGCAACCAGCCTCGCCGTCGCAATCACAGAGAATGCGTCTGTTTCCTTCTCGGAGAAGAGGATGGCGGCCGCAGCCAACGCCGCCCTCCGCCCCAAGTCTGTCCATGCAGAAATGGGCGCGTTTGGTGGGCGCGGTTCTTGGCCCTCTATAGTCTTTGAATTTCATTCGCGGCTGGCAAGCATCAGGGCCAACCTTTAGCTCGGGCTGTCCGCGAGAAAAGGAAACACTCCGTTTGAGGTTGGCCAAAGGTTCGTTGTCTTGGGACATCGAAGGCCGAAAAGTTGAAATTGTTTAGAAATGGCGGGGAATCGCGCCGAGCGAGCTGCTAGCTGTTCGGCGCGCTGCGGCTCCAGCAGGAGGCGCGAGCAAGAACGGGTGTAATCTTTTTATTTGAGGTGGGCCTTGAACCCTGGCGGCCCCAGTCACTTGGCGGCAGGTGTGCTCGCAGGGCATGCGGGGGAATGGCGGCGCGTCCCTGGGCCGTCTCCATGTTGCCCCGCTCGTCGTGCGGAGGCCTTCGGTCTTGGTGAGCCCTGCAAGGCGTTTCACTCTTCGGTGGCTCCGTTCGAATCTTCCGACGGCAAATCTGGGCTCGTGTGTGCGAGGCTTTTATCGCCCATGTTGCCCTGGCTTGTTGAGGCGGGCCTGTCTTTGGGGGGCCCAACTAAGTTCGCGAGCGCATCGCGCAGGACGCGGGGTGCTTACTGAGGCGCCGCCGCAATTCATTGCTGATCGAGCCACTGCAGATCTGTCAAGAAAGTACATTGGCAAGCGCGTCCGCCGCATCTGCTCCGCGCGGGAGGCAGTCCGCAAGTTGCTTCACGAGGGTCACGGCTTCCCGTGATTGTGAGAGCGGCGGGGAGCACTTCCCCAGGCTGTGGGCATGTATTTCGGCAGGTGTTGTCTGGCTCTTGAACGACTGGAGAAGCTCTGGCTAATTGGGGTGATCATTGACAGAGAATGCCTGTTATGCAAGTCAGCTCCACACACCCCCTGACTTAGAATGCATGAATGTTATGTTTCAGAGGCCGAAGATATGTGAGCTAAGCATGCCGGTCTAGAGTTTCTGGGGCGCGCTGGACCACCCTGTTCACTGTCCTCAAGTCTGGTGGCTGATTGCGCCTGGTGCGTTGCAGCCAGTGCCTGACTGGCCATTCAAATCCGTCGGCCTCGACGGGCAGGAGCATGGGCCCTTCTTCCCCGACGCGTTAGAGCAAGTCTTTTCCGATAGTTCGCGCTTCCAAGCTGATAGGCTCGAGATGTCCCGCGCTGGCTTCCGTGTAGTCTCTAGGACTGACTTTGGAGTGGCCGTGCGAGGCTGATATGGATATGGTCCCCCCCCAAGTGATTTCGCACAGAGTAGCAGCGATGCCGAGCGCAGTGGCTTGGCAATTTCAGTCACGCGTAGAACGTCCCCTTCCGCCGGCGCCCACGCTGAGCCGGTCAAGGTTGATTACTCGGGGCTCCTAGCTGGAGCCAAGCAGCCTGCGAGGGCTCTTTCGGGGAGGTCGCGCTTCAGTTTTTTCCGCTGGTGAGAAATCAATAGGCGAGCTGGTGGTGGGCCGTGGCCTGGTCTCATCAAGATCAAGGCCCAGAGCCTTCAGTGGGGCCGCCGATGTCGTTAATTATTTGAACATAGCTGGCTCTACCAAGTGGACGAGCTAGCTGAATTAGGTGCTGGGCTTCATAGTCTGTCCCCTGTTGAGCACCACGAGTTCGAGCAAGATGAGGCCGGATATCAAAACTTGGCCACAGGTGCTTTACATATTTTGCAAGCTTGGCACACTTGTGAAGAGCGGTTTGGTAAATTGTCCAGGCCCCCCCGAAACCCAAAGAGGTGAGGACCCTAGGCCCCAGTCACCGCCCTGTCTGTCACCAGGGGGTTTTCTGTGCCTGCAGTGTCTTCGGGGGGTCTCAGATCGAACCGCAACCCTTTGTCAATCCCTCAACCCCACCCTTGTCGGATTTGCTCCGCGGAGGTGCTGGGTCGCGGCATAAGTTGAATTAGGCCAGGGTTATTGAAACAGATGTGCATGTCATAGTATGTGTGCTCTGTGGGGGACGCGCGCCACTTAAACTTGGCAAGCTTGTGGAACTCTGTTTGAACCCAAACAAAGCGTTCGTCCGAGCGGTCCAAGCTCCTGCGTGGGCTCTTTCTTGGCTCGAGCTACAGGCTGGGGCAAGCTTTCCCCCTCTCGTCCCTTTCCTCTTTTCCTCTGCCGCCTCTGTCGCCTCTCCCTCTGCGTCCGTTGAACCCGGCCTGGTAGCTGTCAGTTGTGTCGTCGGCGCTCGTTGTTCACTGAATGACAGCGTTCGCTTGGCCTGTGAGGTCCGTGAAGAGAAGGAGGGGGAGCAGGAGGAGGAGGAGGAGGAGGATGAGGAGGAGGAGGAGGAGGAGGAGGAGGAGGAGGGGAAGCAACAAAATGGTGAGGGGGAGGGGAAAGGGGAGGGAGAATGGAAGGATGAGGAGGAGGGGAGGGGAGGCAAGGAAGGAGGGCGGGCGGACGGGCGTGCGGACGCAGGAGGAGGATGAAGGGAGGAAGGAAGGAAGGAAGGAGAAGGAGGATGAGGACGATGATGATGATGATGATGATGATGATGATGATGATGATGATGATGATGATGATGATGATGATGATGATGATGATGATGATGATGATGATGATGATGATGATGATGATGATGATGATGATGATGATGATGATGATGATGCTGATGATGATGATGCTGATGATGATGATGATGATGATGACGACGACGACGATGATGATGATGACGATGATGACGATGATGATGATGATGATGATGATGATGATGATGATGATGATGATGATGATGATGATGATGATGATGATGATGACGACGATGACGACGACGATGATGATGATGATGAGATGATGATGATGAGGAGGAGGAGGAGGAGGAGGAGGAGGAGGAGGAGGAGGAGGATAATGAGGAGGAGGAGGAAAAGCAGGGGGAGGGGGACGAGGACGAGGACGAGGACGAGGACGAGGACGAGGACGAGGACGAGGAGGAGGAGGAGGAGGCGGAGGACGAGGAGGAGGAGGGGGAGGAGGAGGAGGAGGAGGAGGAGAAAGAGGGTTGGGCCCGAAGGAGCGCACGTGGTGAGGAGGAGAAGGAGGAGAAAACACATCAAATAAGAAATCAGCCTGCCAGCAGGCACCCCACGAACATTCCCCATCCCCCGATGGCACCAGGGACCCACAGAAGCTCTCGGGCCCTGTAGGAGACTCAAACCGTGGCGAAGCATGCGCCCGCTGATTCCTCATAGCATGATTGCTTATCGCTGGAGCACGCCGCATGTTCGTGCGCCCTTCTTGTCCTCCCGGCAAGGTCTGTGGCTCTGCTGGGCACCCAGATCGACGCCCTCAAGACGGAGGTCCGCGCCCTGCTGAGGGCAGACGCGGCGGCCCAGAGGCGGGCCAGGCCGGGCGACGGCGCGGGGCCGGCCGCGGGCAGCGCGGGCGGCACGGCCGAGGAGGACGGCTCCGCGGGCGTGGATTCCTCGGGGGCACGGAGGAGGAGGAGGAGGAGGAGGAGGAGGAGGAGGAGGAGGAGGGGAGGGAGGGGAGGGGGAGGGGGAGGGGGGGGGGGAGGGGGAGGGGAGGGGGAGGGGGAGGGGGAGGGGGAGGGGGAGGGGGAGGGGGGAGGGGGGGAGGGGGAGGGGGAGGAGGAGGAGGAGGAGGAGGAGGAGGAGGAGGAGGGGCGAGGAGGGGCGAGGAGGGCGAGGATGGCGAGGAGTAGGAGGAGGAGGAGGAGGAGGAGGAGGAGGAGGAGGAGGAGGAGGAGGAGGAGGAGGAGGAGGAGGACCCCCCCTCCTCCTCCTCATGGTGGTGGCGGTGGAAGACAAGCCCTCCATGGTGTGCGCCAGGATGGCCGTGGGCGGGCCATGGACGGCGCTGGATCGGTTGCGCCGATGGGCGCGGCCGCGCCCTCGGCGCCGGACGCGACCGGCTAGAGGAGGGCGAGGCGAGCCCAGCGCACAGCGCCGGCCGAGGCAAAAAGCAGAGCGAGCTCGCATCGAGCCTCTGTGTTCGATGCGTCGTGTCGGGTCGTGTGCGCGCGCGTGCGGCTGCGTTTCCTGTTCTTCATCCTCCTTCTCCTCCTCAGCAGGTCGAGTTAGGCAACGCTTTGTTCTGCGCCATGTTCCCCAATCGGAGCTTACCTCTGTAGGGATCCTAGCAGATTCATATGGTTAGGCGAGGTGGGGCGCCGATTTCGGCGGCATGCCTGGGTGCCCGGGTGCCCGGGTGCCCGGGTGCGCTATAGCTCCGTAACCCTATAGCCCTATTGCCCTATTGCCCTATGGCCTTATAGCCTTGTAGCCCTATAGCCCTACAGCTCTATAGCTCTATATATATATATGCCTATAGCCCTATAGCCCTATAGTCCGATTACAACCCTATAACCCCATAGCCCTATAGACCTATAGCCCTATGGCCCTATAGCCCTATTATAGCCCTATAGCCTCATAGCCCTACAGACCTATAGCCCTATGGTCCTAGAGCCTTATAACCCCATAGCCTCAGAGCCCCAGAGCCCCATATCCCTATAGCTCTACAGCCCTGTAGCCCTATGGCCCTGTAGCCCTATAGCCCTATAGCCCTATAGCCCTATAGACCTATTGCCTTTATGGCCCTATAGCCCTGTAGCCCCATAGTCCTATAGCCCTAAAAAGATTATGATTGGGTTGTTCCTCCGGTATCATGCCTCTTCCTTGTTGCCAGTCATGCTACTAAGATCCCTGGAATTATGGAGATTATGGAGCACCCCGCGGAGCCGTGGGATGAAGAGGCCCCTTCGTCGTGACGCTCGGGCTTGACGTGTCGGGTGGCTTTCGGGCCGCTGCCCTGAAGACCTATCCGCCCGTGCTGTGCAGTTTCCTTGCTGAATGTGGGTGGCAGGACTTTAACCTTTGGATAACTGATTGGGAGTGTGCCCTCGAGGTCCCCTGCAGGCTCAAGGCTTTTACGTTCCGTTCGATGAGTACTTCAGCTTCCAGAGGCAGCATGAGGGTGCCATGAGTGGTTGTGCTTCTCGAGGTGCGATCGGAAGCGCCTAATCTTCTGCGCCTTTTCTTGTGCATGTGATTTTGGCACGCTTCGGTCCTGAACAATGATGTGAGAACCGTGGGAGGAGGAGGAGGAGGAGGAGGAGGAGGATGAGGAGGAGGAGGAGGAGGAGGAGGATGAGGAGGAGGGGAGGAGGAGGAGGAGGAGGAGGAGGAGAGGAGGAGGAGGAGGCGGAGGAGGAGGAGGAGGAGGAGGAGGGGGGGGGGGGAGGAGGAGGAGGAGGAGGGAGGAGGAGGAGGAGGAGGAGGAGGAGGAGGAGGAGGAGGAGGAGGAGGAGGAGGAGGAGGAGGAGGAGGAGGAGGAGGAGGGAGGAGGAGGAGGAGGAGGAGGAGGAGGAGGAGGAGGAGGAGGAGGAGGAGGAGGGGGAGGGGGGAGGGGGAGGGGAGGGGGGGGGAGGGGGAGGGGGGGGGGAGGGGGAGGGGGAGGGGGAGGGGAGGGGGGAGGGGGAGGGGGAGGGGGAGGGGGAGGAGGAGGAGGAGGAGGAGGAGGAGGAGGAGGAGGAGGAGGAGGAGGAGGAGGAGGAGGAGGAGGAGGAGGAGGAGGAGGAGGAGGAGGAGGAGGAGGAGGAGGAGGAGGAGGGAGGAGGAGGAGGAGAGGAGGAGGACCTCCCCCGGTGGCCCCTGGAGCAGTGCTTTATGGGTCACCTGGCCCTACTTTGATCCCGCCCCCCCCAGGGCCGACTAGCCCTGAGAGGGGGGGGGGGGAGGCTACGTTCTGACGAACTTTCGAGCCGCCAGGTGCCAGGAGGAGGACCCCCCCCACCTACCGACCCCCACAGCTCCTTGCTCCCCCGCCCTCCTCGTCCTCGTTCTCCCCGTACGGCGAGGGCGCTGGTCCAGGAATGTGCCCACGAGGCTTCGGACCCCGGACCACTCCCTGGCGGAGGAGGGCGGCGGGGATGCCCGTGGCCGGTCCGCGGTTGGAGTTGCCCCAGCTTCTGGACCCTGGAGTCCCCATCCAGGGGTGCCTTTATTGTCCCGCGTCCTCTGTCCGCCCTCTCCGGCCGCCTGAGGCCTCGCCCGCCTGTGCCCCGTCTCCCCAATTTGAGCTGAGCGTAGCCCGCCTGGCTTATAGCGGAGGAGGTTCGCTCTCGCCCCGCCGACCAAAAATTGTTCCTCGCCCTCGCCGCAGCTCCGCAACCGTTTTCTGGCTCGGGCCGCCCGGGCCGAAGGCCTCCTTGGCTCGGGCTCGCTCCAGCCCTGGCTCGCTGCGCGCCGCCCAGGCGGCGGCGGGCCCCGGGGGGGGGGGCGAGGCGGGGCGGGCGGGGGCCCTCCCAGGCGGCTCGGAAGCTCCCCGGCCTCCTGCAGTTTTCCAAGCCCTCCCCGGAGGCACAACAAAATCAGGAGGGGACAGAACACACAGACGCAAATGATCGTCGACTCGCAGGAAAAGATGTGAAAATATGGGAGGTTGGGGGGAAGACAAAAACCCTGAAAATATGAGGAAGCGGCCCTCCCAGGCGGCTCGGAAGCTCCCCGGCCTCCTGAGGTTTTCCAAGCCCTCCCCGAAGGCACAACAAATCAGGAGGGAGCAAAACACACACAGGCGCAAGTGATCGTCGACCCCCAGGAAAGATGGGAAAATATGGGAGGTTGGGGGGAAGACAGAAGCCCAGAAAATATGGGAAGATATGGGGAATCCTGTCATTTGTGTCCATTTATTTGTGTGTCCCAGGGCCCCTTAAAAAAAACCTCTCAGGATGGGGAGCCCTGAGACGAAGTCAAGGCAAGCGGGGGTCCGCCAGAGCGCCCGATCTTGCAGGATCCTGCAGGGCCAGGGTCGCACTGTCCAGGGGTTGGGCGCAGGCTCCTGCAGGATCTGACAGGATCTTTCGCATCGACCCGGGCTTGGGCGCAGGACCCTGCAGGATTCTTGCAGCATTCTGCGAGGCTCGACTGACCAGGGTCTGGATCGACCCGGGTCCCAGGATCCCCGAAAGCCCTCCCCGGAGACACAGAAGCCCCCCAGAAGGCCGGAGAGCTTCCGAGAAGTCCGGCCGCCTCCCGAGAAGGCCTGCTCCTCCTCGCTGCTTCCCCCCGCCCGCCGCCGAGCAGTCGCCGCCGCCCTGCGGCCCAGGGCGGTGTGCGATGGCGGCCATCCCGCTGGGCGCGAGCCTGCTGCAGGGCGACCTGCTGGACGGCGTCGTGGAGTCGGCGCTGCGCAGCGTTGCCGCACAGCTCAAGGCGGAGTTCCGGAGGGAGCTCGGCCTGGCCCTGCGGGTCGCGCAGCCAGAGGCGGCCCTCGGGCTCGGTTTCGAGCGCACGGAGGCCCCCCTGGTCGCCGTGCCCGGCCTGAATACACCGGTCACCGAGCATGCAGAAGGCAAGACAGGGGAGCCCACTGAGCCGAAGATGGCGGATCGCTGTGGGCTTCATGCCATGCCCCAGAGGATGGCGTCCTTTGGCGACGCGACGAAGCCGGCCGAGAATGCTCAGGCAAGGCCAGTCTTGACTGAGGAGGACCAGGCGGAAATAATCCGCATGAGGGCAGAGGAGATTGCGCGGGAAGAGGCTGCAAAGAAGGCAATGAGACGTCATCGTTTACACAGTGTCATGTTCGACCAACCCATCCTGGGCCAGGCCAGCCGATGCAAAGTTTTCCTATACCATTTGATCACAAGTCTGAAGTTCGATCTATGCATGGGCGTCATCATCCTTCTCAACGCCATATCGATCGGCTTGGAGACTTCCACCTCGCGACGTGGCGATCATGTTCCGTTTTTCTTGCATGCCTTGGAGTACATGTTTCTTGTTCACGTGGTTTCTGCCATCCCGTTGACCCCCAGATAAGAAGCTAAGTTCACGGGTGAGGCCTTCTGTCTCTTGGGAACCGTTAGAGGGGCCTATCGGGGAATATTTTGGGCCTCCTGGGGGCCTCTCGAAGCCTCTTGGGGTTCTGTTGGGCGCCTGCTGGCGGTCTCGGGGATCCTCTTGGGGCGAGTCAAACCCATTTCGAGGCCACCAGACGCGTCCCTACACGATTTTCACGTGTTTTTCCACGATTTTCGGGAGCGGATGAGACCTCCGGGCCGCCCGGGGCCGTCCGGCCGGACCCCCCCCCCCCCCTCCAAACGGACCGGACCGGGCTCCCGGGGGAGGGGTTTGGGGAGGGGGAACATCTCACACGCCGATGAACCCCAAGGGGTCGGCGGATTTTCGTGTCCCAGGGCCCCGTCATTCCAGGGGCTCTCTTGGGCCATCATGGGGCCCCGACGTCCCGGGGCGATCCTTGGGAGCCTGCCGGGCCACCTTGGACGCTGCTACAGCCAGAGGGGTGAAGATGCTTAAGATGTGAGCTTTCCTCTGGATTTCGGGGCCGCTTCTGGTTTGGGGTCCTCGTGGAGCTCTCTGGGGGCGTCTTGGAGGCTTCTCGGGCCGGCCTGGGGCAGTTTGGGCCGTGTGTTGGTGCCTCCTTGGCGTGTTTGAGCCCATCTGGAGCAAGCTCGGATGGAATCTTGGGCATCTTGGAGGCCACGGAGGGCAGTACTGGAGGCTCTGGAGGCCCTGGGGGAGCGTTTAGCAGCCCGACCCCCCCCCCCACCGCCCCCCTCCCCCTCTCAGGGGCAACGATGGGGGGGGGGATAGGCATGGGGGGGGATGCATCGACCCCCATGATCGCCGATAGGGGCCCGATAGCCCCGACTTGTTCAGGAACGTGCGGACTCACTATCGGGGGCCTATCGCCGCTCTGTCGGCGGTGCATCGCCGATTCCAGGTCGGTGTTTCCCCCCCTGTGCCTATCCCCCCTCCTGTGCTCAGACCCAGGGCAGGGGGCAGGGGAGAGGGGGACAGACGGCCACTCATCGCACACGCCTCGGCACCTCTGGCGGGCGGGGGTCGGCGGAGTCTCTATTGCGCGGAGCTGGGCATCCGGGTCTACGTCGGCGGGCGCGAGGCGTTCCAGAGCCACTGGGTGAAGTTTGATGCGGTGGTGGTGATCGCAGGCTGTCTAAACTTGTTGCTCACGCTGACATCCCTTGGCGGCGTGGACAATCTCAACATGATAAAGCTGATTCGGCTGTTCCGCCTCGCGAAGACCGTGCGGGTGCTCGTCCATTTCCGAACTTTGTGGATGCTAGTCCAGGGGCTAATTTACTCTGTTATGCCGATGTTCTGGACGGCTATCTTGATGCTTGTTGTTATCTATGTGTTCGCTGTCATAGCTATGGAGACCATTCCACTCTCGAATGCTGATGGGGACGCAACATATCCAGCTGCCTGCGGCAAATCCCGCCACCGTGCCAGCCCAGTTTTCTGGGTGGCGACTGTTCGAGCGGGCACGGGAGGCCGTCACGTGTGACGCCTCGTGTTTCCAGGCTTGGAAGAGCCGTGATGAGGATGATGAGGATTATGAAGATGATGGGGGTGGTGATGGCGACGACGATGATGATGCTGATGGTGGTGGATGTGGTGGTGGTGCTGATGATGGTGGTGGTGGATGTGGTGGTGGTGATGATGGTGGTGGTGGTGGAGGTGATGGTGGCGATGGCGATGATGGTGGTGGTGGAGGTGGTGGTGGTGGTGATGATGATAATGATGACGACGATGATGATAGTGGTGATGATGATGGTGGTGGTGGTGATGGACATGATGATCATGCTGATGATGGTGATGCTGATGATGACGATGATGATGGTAATGGTGATGGTAGTGTTCTGGTGGTGATGATGATCATGATGATGATGACGATGCTGATGACGATGATGATGATGGTGGTGGGGATAAATAATGTTGACGACGACGATGTCGACGATGACGATGACGATGACTCTGAGTAAGAGTATGAGGATGAGGATGAAGACGATGACGATGATGATGATGATGATGATGATGGTGGTGATGATGCTGATATTGTTGTTGATGGTGGTTAGAATGATGTAGACGATACAGATGATGATGCTGCTGATGGCGATGGTGATGATGCTGATCGTGATGATCGTGATAACGATGATGATGATGATGATGATGATGATGATGATGATGATGATGATGATGATGATGAAGATGATGATGATGATGATGATGATGATGATGATGATGATGATGATGATGATGATGATGATGATGATGATGATGATGATGATTGTTCCTCGACGTTAGGACCAACATCTGATGTAAAGACATTATTGCGCACAATGAAATCAGACTTCAATGATCCGTCGCAGAGAGCCAAGTGTCTCGTATTGCCCCGCATGGGCCGTGCTGCCAGGGTGCTGCGCAGAGGGGCCTCCTGCGCAGCGCATGCCGAGCAACGTGGATGTGCTAGCTGAAAAGATGTTCCGCCGCTTCGTCTTCGGCGTTTGTATCGAGCTCGAACTCAGGTGGGGCCTCCGCCTCGAATAGCTCCTGTGCTGGCACGACAGGAGGATGGGTTGGAGGCACGGCGGAGGAGGGAGGGTACTCAACCGTGACTGTGCCGCTGCATGCGGGGAGGTCTTCGCCTCGAACAAAAATGACACGGCGCTGGATTGCCTCCTCTCCCCTGCTGCCTGCATCATGCCATGCAGGTTCATTCTGGCGATAGGCTGGGCTCACTGCTCGAGAGTCTCCAGCCAGTGGCCTACTTCTTCCTCGAGCCATCCCGCTGGGGCCACGCCTCTGTGATGTACCGCTTGGCCCTCGGCCTCGAGGGCACGGCTGATCAAGACTCGGCCCTCCCATGTGGGCGCGCCGATCACCAGCTTCGTCTTGGTGTCGTCGTAGCACTTCTCCAGGCGTACGAAGGAGATGACGTCGAGGAGATCCTCCTTGCTGATCTCGGCCTCCGCCTCGATGTCCTCGGGCTCCGCTCGGAGCAGGTAGTTGCGGATGGCCCCCTTCATGGATCCGCCCACGTCGCACATGTGCAGTCCTTCCAGGGCCGCGAGCGCGAGGGACGGGGCTGGGGACCCTATCTCCTGCAAGCGTTTCTTGTCCTCTGGGGTGCCGCTCTTCCTGAGGGAGTCCAGGGTGTGCATGTAGCCCTCGAGCTCCTGCGTGATGGCTATGGTCACTGGATGCTCGTTGCTCATCGTGTATGCGTCCGTGCTGATGCTGCTGTTCAGCCTGGTTTTGTGTGTCGTCTGGAGCAGCAGCTTCAAGGTCGACCGTAGCAAGTCCATCAAATTCTTGTCCTTGCTGGTCCAGACCTTGGGGTTGTGATTGCCTCGGCGCCCGCGGCGTCCTCCGCGGCGAGCTGGGCGTCGGCTGGACTGGTCGGTCTTTTTGTCCTTCTCGCCGTTGTCTTCCTCGTCCACCTCGATGGGCGTGGCTGCTGGCGCGGCTGCTCCCCCTTCCTCGGCTGGTGGTCGCGGTGATCGAGATCGCCTCTGCGTTGGCGGCGGCGGGCCTGGCTGGCGTGGAGCCTTTGTCCCCTTTTGGCCTGCAGCGGCACTGGAGGCGGCGCCAGAGCCCTTCGAGCCCTGGGAGGAGTCCAGCGGGAGTCGCCACGCCGCTCTCTGCTTGGGCGTCATCCCCTGGTCCAGGAGGTAGTACAGGAAGAGTAGGAGTAGAGGAAACAGTAGCCACTCGAGGTGTCCCTTGCGATGTTGCATGTACTTCTGCTGCTGGACGCTGTGCTGCTCGTAGCCGTCGTAGTGGTCGATGCCTCGCTCTGCTGCGTGGGTCGCTGCCTACGATGTGTTCCACCGACTGACGAATGGCGGCGCGCACAGCGGGGGTATCCTCGACGGCAGGCGAGGGGCGGCAGCTGGATGGCGCGGGACGTGGCGGGTGGGCGCTCGGGGTGGCCGTGCGCGTGGTAAGCCTTCTGACGACAGGCGTGAGCATGGAACCCGATGGCGACGGTGGTACATGTCCTAGGACGTGAACCCGGAGCTTTTGCTGATCATGATATTCATGCTGGCATGCATGGTCCAACGCGTAGTCTCGTAAAGGACATGTAGTACATGTTGCTGGGACCCAGGGATATACTTGATGCGTAAGTTCTGGGATGCATCTGCCTGCTTGCCATGCCCGTCGTAAATGTCTAGCTGCGTGGTCTTGATTTTGGAATTTAGTTTGGCACACAATACATTTGTTGTCGATCTGTAACGTGGTCAATACCGCTGGCATACCGTGTCCTAGGCCCTTAGATTTGGTTTGATGTGTGGCGAGCTGTTTGAGCGTCCCGAACCGTTTCTGGCACGACTCGATGTTGCACACGAAGGGGCGGTTCGTCTCGTCATCGGTGTCCGTCTCGTCGTATGCTGACGCCGAGGGGAGAGAGGAGGTAGTCACGCTGGCCTCGGGGGGAGCCCACTGAGTCGTCCAATAGGATGCCCTGAGAGCCCGAACGTCGCAGCTTAGAAAGGCCTTTCGAACCCACTCGTCGTCCCATAATTTTTTTACAACTCGAGGTTGCCACGCTTCCTGAAAGCTCTCGCCAATCGTGTGACGATAGGCACATCAAATCGTCCGCGAGCTGTTTGGCCCACGGGTGCACGTTCGGGTCTGCGGAGATCTCACCCTGCGAGTTGAGGGTGCCCGCGCTGACGGGGCGGTTGCTTATGGCCGCCTGCTGCTCGAACTTGCACCTTCCAAAAAAGCCGCGAGAAATTAGCCTTGATGAGCGTGTGACCGAATGATGCCATGCCACCAACTGAGCCTGCGCACGAGTAATTCGGTGGCAGTCGGTGCAACTTGCCATTCAATAAAAACTTGTCGGGTGGACAGGGATCGATGATTGTTGTTCTCATCCTCCTTGTGTGCCGTTCCTCTCATCATTGATCGTAGTTTACGGGCTAACGAACTGTCGAGTCTATGGAGCTCTCTGGGGGTCCGCGCATAGCTTTCGAGGCCCGACCAGACCCTCCCCGCGACATTGGACACGAACGCGAGTCGTTTGGCCTTCCAAGGTCCTCCAGAATACCAGCAGTTGCCCGGACGGCACCACCCAGTCTTTCCCGATTGTATGCGGGCCTCGACTTCACGACGATTGTTGTTAGCGACATGTACATATCCTCCGAGGTGAATCAAGTCATGGACCGCATTCCCAGATATGTTCCGTTCGGCCTCCTTCGTAGCCCCGTGGGTGCCCAGTGAGACCAGGGTGTCCTGCTTACTGATGTTCTGTGCGTAGCCGCCAGCTTCGAGGGCCTGGGAGAGCGTGTTGTTGTGGATCTCATCAATCTGCAGCGCCTGGTGGGACGTGCCATCTGGCACCAAGAGGATCTTGACTAAATCGTCGATGAAAGCCCCAAGGTTCGCATCATGCTCTTCGCCAGTGAAAGGGCAATGTACCTGAAACGGGTTTCCCTGGACCTGGGCCATCTCCTGGGACCACTGCACAACTAATAGATAGAATGATTCCATGAAAAGTTCAGGCTCGTTCGAGTCGCCCATCCTCCCTCCTGTCCTTGGTCGAAGAGCTATGCTGGCATCAGACGCCTGCAGAAAAAACTACAGCATCCTGTCGATGCTGCTCCAGGAGGGGATGAACATGTTCGTCTTCGCATCGGAGTGTGTGAGCTGCGGCCAGTCGCTCGTGTGAGATTGTCGCGAATGCGTCCCGCATGTCGTACGACTTACACAGCTTAGCAATTAGCATGAGCGGCTCGCGGCGACGGGGATGAATGCCTCCGTGCGCCCACGGTGGTGGGTCGAATTGGGTTCCATACAGAATGGGTCCTATCCTGAGATACAAACGCCAAAAATGATCGAAACAATGAAGTAGCCGCACGCATGCAGGAATATCCTGGATCACGTTGCCAGTGGGGCTTTTCCTTTTTTTTTTGCCGATAGCGACCGCCTGACTAGTGAAAGCCTGGGCGGGTAGAGATCCACATCGATGGACGTGGGCAAGTAGTGTGACGAAAGTCTGGTTGATGGTGGAGCTGGCGTCATGGTCAATCACGAGCTTCCGTCGACTGGGTTGGTAGACTCGCTCGGCGAGCGGGTCCGCGCACTGATAATCTGCGGTGCCATGTCCCATCCCTGCCCTTTGGACGCCAGGGCGGGCCAGATATTGTGGGGCGAGGAGCATGATGGTGAGTTCGATGGGCCACGCCCAAGGTGGGTTGTAGCGCCTCCGTTTTTCCCTCCGCAGTCGTTTCTGCAGATGTTCGAGCTCTTCTGCTGCTGTCTCGATGTCGTGGAGCTCGGGGGCGCCGATGTGCTCCCCGCCTGGTTGTATGTCGTTCGATTGGGCTAGTAATCGTGGATAGATAGATGTCGGGTCGTCGATATACATACTGACGTGGGCAGGCGTGGCCGAACGTCCCCCTTGAACAGCTGGTTGAGTAAGGGCATCTGTGTATTCGGCTGCGGAGGGGCGCGTGGATGGTAGTGAAAGGTATGATCTTCGTCGTGGTCCCGTCCGTCGTCCTGCTCGAATGTACGTCAGGTGTGCGACTCGGGAGAGGTCGCGTGTAGCCCACGCGTCGCGGATGTCCAGGCCAGTATTGACTTTCCACCAGTGGTCCATCCAGCGTTGGTGCGTTCGTATTCGTCGTTGGATCTCGCGCAGGGTCTCATGGTTGAAAGGTAGTCGTCGGGCTCGGTAACCGGCACGTTCTTTAAGCAAGCGGAGGCGTTCAAGTCGTGCTTGTTGGTACCATTGTGGCTGTCCTCCTCCTTCCTTTGTATAATACTTGCGGCCGCATTCACGAATGATATGGGCGATGAGAGCGTTGTGGCGGGTCGGAAACTGATCCATCTTGACAACTCGGATGACCTCCCTGTGTTTGCTGATCTCGGCGTAGACGTCATTGAGGAAGGCGGCGCGGTGGGCGCCCGTCTGGAGCCCAGCAGCAAGAAGGCCGAAGTCCCAGCGGATGTTATTGTTCTTGATGTTGGCACCGCTGACAGGCATCTTGATCTGCATGATCATGGGGACGTGATCGGCAACGTGCAGTAGGCTGCGTAGTTTGGCGTGGATCTTCCAATTCAACTTCACGTATTTCACGACCTCCATGAGGTTGTCGTAGCCGATGAAGTGGTCGATGCGTGATCTGGCTTTTGTTGGGCCCGTAGTAGGTGTTGCCCACGTCGATGTGCGTATTGATGGCTGTCAATTGATGGATCAGCATCTGGTCGTGGATAAAGCGTCCGAACTCGGTCTCGTCGCTGGCCTGGTAGCTGCCGATCGCATTGTCAGTATGGAGCTGTCGCGCCCGTCGTCCTAGTCCTTGGTTGTGGTCTGTGAACATGATGGGTGTGATGCGCGTGGGGGTGTTAGTGAGTGTCTGCAGTACCCAGCTCCATAGTCGTCGGCATCCTGCTTTCCAATGTTGGTTTTGACCCGCTCCGTTCGGCCTTGGTGGAAAATACGCTACAATGAGTCGAATGCGGAGCTGGCCTCGATGGAGCTCGACTGCGCCTGCGCGGCCCCTGGGGAGGGTGTAGTACCTTGACAGTATCTATCTTTCGGAAGTGGCGCTTAGATACCGCAATGCTGCAGCCCGCTGAGCTATTTGCGCGGGCCCCCCTGCCCCATCCGAAGTGGACCCATGTGTGGTGTAGGCTGTCCTCAAGATGGTGCGGGGCGTCGGTAGTGCGTTGGCGTATCTTGGTACCCACGTACATCATGATCTGTATAGCACGGCACGTGTCGGAGATGTTGTCGAGGCGTCCTGGTACTCCCTTGAGCGAGAATGGGTTCCATCCCAATATTGTGATGGCCTTCGTAGTGGCTTGGTGTGGGCGTACGTCAGGGTCAGGGCGGCGTGGGGGTTCCAGAGGGCCAGGCGGGGGGGCGTCGGCGGGTCGTCGGGCTGGAAATTGATGTTCAGGTCGTTCGTCGCATGGTTCCCGTTCATGTCGAAAATCAATTCCAGGTGGTAATTCAATGTCAGCGCGCCATTGTTCCACTGGTGGCAATTCATGGTCTGCGTGGTGTGCTCCTGCATGTACTGGCCCGCCGTGTCCGTGTTGTTGTTGAAATTGAAGTTCAGCGTCCAGCAATTCAAGATCGTCTTGTTGTACTCCTGCACGTGCTGGCGCTCTATGTTCGTGATGATGTTGAAATTGATGCTCTGCTTCCAGTGGTGGTCCTTCGCAAACTGGGAGTGGATGTGGTGGTGGTGATGCTGGGGTCGGGGCTGGGCGGCGGCTGTAGCGCGGGACTCGTGTGCGTCGTGGTGGGCTCTGTAGTTCCCGTGCTGCAGCATCGGCGTTGTCGTCTGGCTGGTGGTCAGGTGCCATGCGTTCGTCAGCGAGCAGGTCCTGTCGCTCAGCAGGTGCGCGGCGCCCGCGCTTTGGAACACAGCCTTGGCGGCATGGCTGTCTGCGGGGTGTCGTCAAGCGGCCCTCTGCCTTTCGGGCAAAGGCGAGAGGGCGATGACTGGAGGCCGCTGCGCCTTCGGTGGCCTGAGCCTCGGCGGCCTTTGATGATGATGAGGATGATGATGAGGATGATGATGATGATGACGATAATGATGAGAGGAGGATGATGATGATGATGACGAACATGATGATGAGGATGATGAAGAAGAAGAAGAAGCTCGCTTTAGCCGTCTTGGGGCTGTCGTGGCCTCCTGTGAGGCAATATATGGGGTTTCTTGCAGCCGTCGTGGGGGCGTCTTGGGGCCCTCTTGCGAGGGCCTGAGGCTCTCTTGGGCCGTCTTGTGACCCTCTTGGCCGTATGGTGGATGCCTGGGGGCTGTCGTGGGACCGGCTTAGCGCCGTCTTGGGCCGTCGAAGGGCTTTTACGGCCGTCTTGGGTCCCACGGAAGGTCCTCTTGGGCCGTCTTAGGGTTGGCTTGGATGCCTCTTGGGCCATCGTGGAGTTCTCCTGGGCCGTCTTGAGCTGACGGCAGCCCGAAAAGGCAGGAATGTGAACATTACCCCCAAACCAAAAGGAAATCAATGGGTTTCGTTTTTTTCGGACCTTGTTGGAGGTCCCCTTGTGGCCATGACATTGTGGCGTAGCCAATTGGCTGCTGGTGGTAATTGGGAGTGTGGTGCCGTCAAGTCGTGGCGGCACATTGTCGTCGACGTGGCGTCGACGGGTGTAGCGTCACAGATAAGCCAGCGGCCTGGCTCAGTTCCCCGGAAGAACGTTGGCGCAGTAGGTGGCACGAACGTATTGGTAGTCCACCAAGCTGTGCCGTAGAGCACCGGTGTTAGATAGAGCCAGCCACACGATAGTGTGGCCAGCTCCTCTACCAAGTCGACAAAGTGGCATGGTAAGCCATGATGCATAAATCGTCTTACGCGTACCCCATGTCCCAGCCATGACGTAGCATAGATAAGGTTTGGCAAGAAGGGGCACGGGATAGTAGATGTAAAAGGGCGCATGATCAACGTACGATGTACACGATAATTGACAATGGTATTGTTTAAGCAAATACTGCTGCGCGCCGCTTGAACCAAGAGGCAACGGTTAGTCGCTCGCTTTTCTCGCATGTCGACTCCGTTCAAAATCAAGATGTCTCCAAGAGGGCCCGTGGCTCGATGTCACTGCGCGGCCGGGCTCAACACGGAGACAGATTTAGTTATACCAATTCGGACGCTGACGGCCACGTCAACTCCAGGAAAGCAAAAGCAAAACCAAAGCAAGACCATTACTCCAGTGACCAAGATATCACCATGCACTACCTCAGGGCCACGATATTCCGCATCAGATGGATATGCCTCCGTTTTGCAGTCGGGTACATGCAGCGGGGATGGGATGATACCCGTACCAAATGACCCTTCTGGGATCCCGCACGCATTGTAGCATTTCGCGATGTCACCCGCGAAGTTCACCCATGGCTGGACGTCGCCAGTGGCATGATGGTACCACCCCAACAGGCTGCTGCACTGCAGCGCGGCCTGGGTGGTCTCGCAAGGGCAAATGCGATAAGGGTACCAGCAAACATCATCAACTATGGGGTGACCATCAAACTCAGCGCACCGACGCAGTCACATACATCATGTTCTTCCTCAGCGCAAAATTTGAAAACGTAGAGGACGAACGACATCTGACGTCAGGCGCGGCCCATATCCATTTCCACGTCGAGCGTGGAGAGCGAATCGATGCGGTCTTAGCCCGCTTCGAGATGGGCAGGCTGGATGCTGATTCTGCCAACTTCAACATCTTCTCGATCCTGAAGTTCATCCTATTTCAGGCAGCTGTGGACACATAGCCGAGCGCTCCCCTGGAAGTACTGGAAGCATATCCAATGGGCGCGGAAACTATGCAGGTACATTCCGCGCCACCACTGGCACCACACAAGCCGCTGCGGGGACACTTGCCACTGAATCCACAGCATTACTAGGCCAGGAAGCCGGCGGCGCGCAGTCACGCGGCAGAAACTGGGCACAAAACCCAATACCACAAGCGGCCTTTACCGCACTGCCGAACCCGGCAAGTACCATTTGGGAAGATGCAGGGTGAACAATCTCGCCCTGCGACTCCGGCACCGACACCGACACCGCCTCATCACTAGGCACCAGCCATGTTGTTTGTCAGACATGCCAGTTCATTTTACGGACGAGAAGACTGCTGAATACAGTCTCTAGGATATCAACATGCTAATCGTCGTTGGAGGCGCTTCTCCAAGATACCCAGCGCGCGCGTTAGGTGCGCAGTGTGACGAGCATTCCGCAGCAGAGATAAGGAGCGAGGCAAGGGTAAGGGGCGGACGCGGAGATTGCGCGGTCGCGGTGTCGTACGTTCTTGTCGCCCTTTAGTGGCCACGAGTTCGAATATATCTTCTCCCGGAAAGGGAAGGGTCAAGGGCGCCGAAATACTTTCGGGAACTGGCAGGGGGCGAAAGCTGAACCCTTTGGACCGAAACTGGAGACGCATGTAGTGCAGCACCTGCAGTTGTTAAATCATTCCCAGGCCCTGTGCTCGAAAGGCAGGGGGGTTGACGACGACGGAGGACGCAGCAATTGTTTCATGTTTCTTCGAATTCACTGTCGGTGGCCACGCTGGCCACGTACTTCCCGTCGGCGCGCTTCGCCGCGGGAGCCGGGGGGGGGGTCGAGCAGTGCGCCGACGACCTCTTTGACGTGTTGCGCGGCTGCGAGGGGGAAGCCATTCCGATCCGCGACTGGCCTGGCATTCCCCTGCCTGCGCGCAGCAGCGCGATGGGGGACGGCGATATCGAGTTCTTGAACGACGACGAGATTATCGACGCCACCTCCGAGACGGGGGCTGGCACGGCAATTCAAGATGATATCGACTCTCATTTGCGCGGTCGCGCACGAGGCGGCCGCGCGGTGAGCTGCGCGCTTGGCCGCGGGCCAGCTTCCAACAGCCATCGGCTTCGCTGCCGAGGAGCTAAGCGAGATCGGCTGGGGCACCTCCTTGGCGACGACCGCCTCGTCTGCCCGCGCGTCGCGGGCGCCAGATGGGTCGGGCGACGTTGGCAAGGGCCCAGGTGGCGGCCATGCCCGCCGCGGTTAGGGCCGACTCATCGTTCCCGACGACTGCGCGCGCTGGTGCCGGACCCAGGCGCGGGGCGAACACGACGCCATGAATCGGCATTATATCCAGCGCGTCTCTCGCGACGAAGACGAGTGCGTCGCGCGCGGCGCTCGAGTGCGCCGCGCCGGGGGAAGCTGTGATTGGAGGAAAGCCAAACGCGACATCATTGCGGACAGACGTGATTAACGAGCCTGCGCATGCAAGTTCTTCCAGAACCACCGCTGCGGTTGCCCGCGTGGCTGGCCTTCGCGATCGCCATGCCACTTGGCGACCCCGTGGAACCATGGCCACTGTCGCGGATGCGGGGCCCAGCTCGGCCCCGGGCAGATCGGCGACCCATGGCCGACGCGGGCGCCGCTGAAGCAGAGAACATCTGGGGCGGCCTCGAGGATCATTGCGTCTCCAGCGCTTCGGCCGCAATTGCCGCATAATGAACGACGTGGGCGACGACCGTGGCTGGGGTCGCGAGCGACAGCGACATGTAACCCGCGGTCGCAAGCGCTCGGGCTCGAGCAGGAGCAGCACCCCCCGCGAAATGTGGAGGGGCGACCCGAGCTTGGCCGACTCGCCCGCGCCGTCTACCAAGCGGGGGGCCAAGAGGAGCTCTTCGACGATGAGCCGAAGGCGCCAAGAGCAGGCGCGGTCGCGCGCGAAGAGCGCCAGATCCGAGGAGATGCTGCGCGGGGCGGACGAACTTCTGGCTGAGAAGCCCAAATATTCTCAGGAACGCCCGACAGGACTTCGCCGATTCAGATCGGTTCCCGACGCGGCGGCTGCTTTTCAGGTGAATTTCAGGGCTCCTCACAACCTGCGCCGCGGGACCCGTTCCATATTCCATCGGGCGCCTCGCAGTCTGCCCGGGTCCATCGCGCGGGCTGGCCCCAGCGACGCGACCAGCCGGGGCTGCAGACCCCCGGGGGGCCAAGTCTGGCGCGGCGGCCACGCGCTATGTCAAGAGCCTCGGTGCCAAACGCACGCCCGTTGGAGCCGACATGTTGCAGGGGGAGGTGTCCGAGGCATCGGGCGCGCCGGCGGCGGATGTCAGCCAGGCCAGGCAGAGGCGCGCCTCCATGGCCGGGGGCCCAAGGACGCGGGCCCAGTGCTGGCCGCCAGGCTTGCTGACTGGCCCGTCGAGGGCTCGCTATTCGGAAGCGCCGACGGACGGAATGCGTGGTGCGGGAAGAATGCCCCATCCAGGCCGCCAGCTCGGCCTCCCGCGCGGCCGCGTGCAGGGGGGCCCACGGAGGTTTACGACGGCGACCGTTGCATCAATGCCAGATGCGACGCAATGTGCAGAGTGGAATGGAAGACGCGCGCTGAACATGAAGCGCAGCACATGAGCGGCGCCCCCCGAGGTCATGCGCCGCTACGCCCACGGGACTTCAAGCGCCGGCCGAGGAAGAAGCAGCGCGCCCAGAAACTTCAGCCACCAACTTCCACGACAAAGTCAGCTCTTCGAGATCTCCGAATTGGTGGTCCGCTACCTACCAAGGCCAACCTTTCTCATTGCGACCATTTCAGGGAGCATTTCTTGGACGACGTCCGCCCCCGCTGCGTTCGTGAGGCTTGGCGCTGGCGATGCGCTGGGCAACGCGAGGTAGAGGGAGTGGCGCGACGTGGCATGGGAGATGATGGTGGGCCTGCACCCTGCGCGCATCGCGCTGCAGTTGCCCGCGGCCGCCGCAGAAGAGGGAACTTCGGCCGAAGTATCAACCTAGATCGTAGAAGACGGAAGCCCCCGCTGCTCTGCATCAGGGCCACGGACGGCCATGCGCGACTCGGCGTCCTCTCGCCCATCTCGTTGCACACGGGTCCGTGACATCGGCCACCCAGGCCCTCGGTGCTCCATTCGCGGCGCCGACTGGAGGTTCCGCGGGCCCGCATTCCGCAATGGTTTGTCCTGCCGCCAGGGGCGCAACCGGAAGCGTGGGGGCAGCAGGCAGTTCACCCGCGGGTGCCCGTACTTACCAGAAGACCCGCGCATCCGATCGGACACGCGCGGCGACTCGGAGGTGATAGTGGTTATCTAGATTGAGTGGCCGATGCAGATCGGAGTGGACATCTGGAGGCTCGATGGAGTGATGTCTCTACGATGCGTCGTCCAGGTGGTGGCCATGGGCGACCTGGGCTGCCCCAGGGGATACTTCTGCGCGAACGAGCTCTACTTCCGCGGCCTAAACATGAACGCGCCTGACGGCCATCTTGGAGCTGAGGTTCGCACCGTCTACATGATAGACGGCGCGCGCGCGACGCGCCAATGCCAGACGCTGGGCCGCTTGCAGGAGGAGACGTCCATTCGGAGCAACGGTCGCTGGCACCCTGGGCCACGCCCCCGGCGGCCGATGCGGCTGTCATGCCAGCCGAAGTCATCGCCGCGCCACGAACGCTCTCGCGCGCTGCGACCCGTCAGCGGCGGCTGGACTGCAGCATGCGCGGTGCGATGGCCAACCAGGAGCAGCTCGCACCAGCGGGGCCACCCGTCTCGCAACGACCACCGAGTCACGCCAGCGCCGCGCACTTGGAGCCCGCTGCTATGTCGGACGGCGGGCCATCGCCAGTGACGCCCTTCGCCGCGCCGCCGATGATTCGGGGCATGCGGGCCGATGGCCTACGACAGCATTCTGCTGAGATCAACCAGCGGCTTGGGTTGGCAGCGGTGGTTCGTGCTACCGCGCAGATCCCCACGCGGCGGCATCCAAGCCAGGCCACTGGCTGTCTGCCTCAGCCGACGCCGGCGGGTTCCACCGCTGGCAACCGCGCGCCTGGCCACCAGCGGCAACATTCCATTTTGAAACAGCAGCCAGCAACAACAGCATGATGCTATAGATGATGAGCCTGCGTAGGGTCAGCGTCACCAATCCGAGCAATTCGGTGCCACCGATGGAATGGTTTCCCGACAGCAGCGCGGTGGCCGAATTCCCCAATGCAATGCCGTTCCTGCCCGCGTTCGCCGCGCGCCCCGACTGCTTGCCCATGCAGGCGCCTGAGGCGCCGCCGACAGATTCACTGGTATTTCTCGAGTTCTTCGCCGCGCGCGACGGCGTCTCCATTGTAGGCGATTGCGGCGGCAATGGATACACGAGGGACTTGGCTGACGAGATGTTCCGGCTGCAGTCCGCGCGGGTCGCCCGCGAATGGCGCATCAACCGCCGCCGCCATTCGATCTCGAGGCATCCCGGGAGGTGGCATCGAACGTTTTGGGGCCACTACCGCTTCATCATCAGGAGGTGTATGGCATGATGCAGGCCCGAGTTCAGTCGCAGGGCAATGCGGAGGGCACACCAGGCACGCGCGAGCCAGCGGCTTCAACGCCAGAACGACACTGCCTCCCAGCGCGACGCCAGCTCCCAGCGTGGCAACACGCCTAAACAGCAGCTGCAATCGCAGCGATACCTCCTGGTGCCACCACCGGCCTACGAGGCAGGCGAGACTACCTCCCTGCGCTAGCAGCGTGTTAGGCCAGGCGCGCAGACTGCCTTGGTCATAGACCACGCCTTCACCCAGCGTGCGGAGTGCCTCGAACCGGTCCAGTCCAGGGAGCTCCTAGGGAGGCTACAGTGTGGCGATCAAGTCTACTCCACATGCTGGGGCCGAGCTACGCGCGTACACGTGGGCAACCGCAGGCTCGGCGCACCTGCCGACGCGCCGTGCGCGGTGTGCCTGGGCGCGGGCCCGTTATCGCTCGCTGCCCGCATGCGGGCCGCCGCGATGCCGAGGCTGCCGACAATTCACCCATCGGCAACGTGACCGAGAGAGCGCGCCTCCATATACCAAGCCAGGAAACGAGCAGGAGCGGGGGCGGGGCCGCCGCGCCCCTGGCGTGTCCTACGGCACAGCCGCGGTCGGCCTCTCAGGCCGGCATGCCGATCCCCGTGCCGATCCTGCCCGCTGCGCCGACCGGGCAGGATGAGGGGCCATCAAGTCAGGGCGCGGGGGCGCTTGCTGCTACGTCCACTGCGCGCCACTCGCAATGCCCCGTAACCCGTTCACGAACCCGCCGTTGGACCGAATTGAGCAACAACGACGGGCATGAACGGGGGGCAGACCCCGCGGGCGGCCGCGCTCGTCGGCCAGCAGCGCCGACGTCTGTCAACGCGCGCAGCGCGCGGAGTGCCGACGCCGAGCGCGCGACGTCTCGCCAGATCTTTATGATCACCAGTTCGAGGTCGGCGACCAGGGCAACCGCGGACGAGCTGCTACCAGAAACCCTCGACCATAGCGCCGACCATTGGATCATTGACAAGGGCCCCGCCGCCGATGAGGAACAGCAAGTCTGGCCATCGAATAGCGACGGCGACACCGTGAGCAAGGGTCTGCTCACATGGGCTCTCGAACGCAGACGCCGAAAAGAGTTTTTTGGATCCGGCGGGGTGCGTGCGCGATCCACTACCGCAGATGAAGATGTCTTCGTGGCGGGGGGGATCCGCGCCATGTTGCCAGACGAGCTGAACATGTTTGTTGATGTTGGGCCCGCCGTCCACGTCATCGGTCTCCACGCGGCGCGGCTCTGCCAATGGGCGGCGGCAGTGCGTGCCCGCGTGCTGAGGGCACTTCGCATCGATCGCTTGTCGTGCATCAGCGGCGCGGGCCGCATTGTGATCGCATGCGTGATCTATTAGCAAAGCGCGCGCCGCGGATGCTGATTGTGATGATGGGTCCAGCTGGGTACTTCTGGAAGGTGGGTCCCATCCAGGGTGCGATCCTGGACCTATTGCTCCGCCAGATCCAGATTCGTCTATGCCATTGCCATAGCGGTTCGTACCTACACATAGTCACAATATGCTTTCGGATACCTACCACACTATGACGGTGCATGTGTACGTCAAGCACAGGTCACATGCTAGGCGCGAGCAAAGCCGCGCGGAATGGAGACACAAAATATGTGCTACAGTGATAGCGCGCCACCTGGTTCATTTGGACAACCCCAACGGTGCATGAAACGAGAGGGGAACACATCTGAGCGCACGCGCTCGCGCCGACAGGGGCGCTCGGACATGCGCCGAACCCAGCTCAACGGTCCTATGCGTGACGAAATTACACGCGAGTAACTCTTGATCTGGGCTCCACGAGGTCGAAGATCAATCGATTGGCTACAGACTTGGAGGCCCCATTGTCCTCTTGAGGCCGAAGTATCAGTGCACGACTGCACTTGGAGCGTGCGGTTACAGCCCGCCACGGGCCTTCAACGGAGCGCCAGCGCCCTAAGTGACGAGCGATGTTCATCGCCGATGATCGATCCCCCTCCCCCCCGACTGCTGGGCTTGGTTACGGGCCTGCATGTGAGGGGCTACCCCGCGCAACGCCATTCTTTTGATCCCGGGGGCTCCATTGCGCGCGCAT